TCATCCTCATCCTCATCCTCACCCCTTATTCTGAAAACAAAGCACTTCCTTTGTCTTAGAGGAGCTTTATTGTGACAGGACAGGAAGTGTTTGTTGTTGTTAAAGTTTAATTTTATTGTTGTTCGTCCTGTAAAAACACCAAGACTGTAAACTTTTATACAATTAATAAAATAAACTGTTTGTAAAGATGAAATATGAGGATTTATTTATTGATCTGCAGTCAATTATTGATCAGGACGATAAGAACAGCTGAGTTTATGAAGCAGTTTAAGAATTATTTTACGTTCAAACTGACAAAAAAACTACAAATGATTTGAAGGAAACTAAAAATAAGTATTTTATTTTGTAGTGATCAATACTAGAGGAAGCCTGAGATCAATAATTAATGTGTTATGTGTGTTATTAAACTGTAAATGTAACTTCTTTATTTAAGAAATATGTTTGTTGTTTAACAGTGTAGGATTATTATTGATCAGTTACGTAACAGATTAAATTATTTAATGCAGCTATCACATAAATGTGATGGAGTATTGATTATTGTTATCTATTGATAAAAAATATAGGAAGAGATAATGTGACAGTACAGTTAGATCTAAACAAACAGGAAACACAAAAACAGACTGACTCTAAAATCCACTGTTGAATATAAATATAATATAAATATAATATAATATAAATATAAAGGTATATTTATATTTATATGTGTATTATGTGATTTATAATCAGTGTTTGAGTCTCACATTGTGAACCAATGTCGCCTCCTGGTGGTGAAAACTGAACATTTTCTCTCAGTTTTTATTCTTTAACAAATAATTTTAGTTTTATTGATTATACAGCTGATAATTCTGATATTGACACAATTAAGTTTTAATCCCCTGTTGTTTAATAATATTGTCTGTGGTTCATTACCAGAATATAATGTACTTTAATATACTTTAATTCAAACTAACGACTGTATTAAAATCAAGAAACTAATAAAAGTGATCAGATTAAAAACATCAGACAGCTTCAACGTTCAACATCCAGGTTTTATTTCTTTTAGTTCACAACATTAAAGTTGAGTTGAGAGCACTGAGACACAAACTGTAAAACATGCAGACGACACGAAAACATTATAATAATAATACTCATATATTTATATTCTGTTTAACAATCAATATCTGCTCATTTCTTCTGACTGTCCAATTTTAGATTATAGGAACAAACCAGCAGGAGTCAGTCGTTAATATTCATTAATATTTAACTTCAGCTTCAACTAACGAATACTTTAATTATTGATTAATCAGCTGATTATTTTCTCAATTAATCTCTGAAACCTCGAGTCCATTCTGTCTTTCAATATTCTGTCCAACAGTTTAAACAGCAAAATATTCAGTTTACTGACAGAAAAAGCAGCAAATTCTCACCTGAAACATGAATAAATTAAAAAAAGTTGCTAATTAATTTTCTTTTTGACGCAGAAACACGATCACAGATTAGTTTGTTGTCACATAAACAGAAACACTGTAAACGGATGCGAGTTAATACTGAACACTGACGTTTCCAACACACTGAACTTATTCTAAGACTTCATTTAATTTAATTGTTTTTGTTTACAAACTGAGTCTAATTAGATTCATAATCACATTAACATCTTGTTTCTGTCACCAACACATTTAAATGTTTTACTGAATCAATTCAGTCTTTTAATTATTCAGTCAGTTTATTTTACTGGATCTGATTTATTGATTGATTTTATTGATTGATCTGCCTCCATCAATAACAGTTCAGTGTGTGAGAAAGTGCAGCAGCCTCCACAACAACAACAGAGTTTATGATTTAAAACTCAAATAATTATTAGTTTGTGATTCACTTTAAAGTCTGTTGTTGGAAACCTACAAATAGTTTACACATTGTTTCTGCACGTTCACAAACAGATTTACAGGGACACTGACTCCACACAGGTTCACGGGGAACACTGACCTCCACATACAGGTTTCACGGGGACACTGACCTCAGCACACAGGTTTACGGGGACATTTCTGACTTCCACAACAGGGTTTACGGGGAACTTGGATCCAGCACAGGTTTTACGGGGAACTGACTCCACACAGGTTTACAAAGAGTGAACAGAAACTCTTATTTCAGCCCAGATCAATCAGTCAGTACCAGAACTCTAAGTAAAATCTACTGTTGTTGTAGTTTTTATTACAGCTGCACATTAATTAATGAATCCAAGTATTACTGACTACAGTCTGGATCAGTTCAATGTGTTTAATAAAGTTAAAATGTGACAAACAGTATTATAAAGTAGTTCCCAGTAATCGTGTCTGTCAGAATAAAAGCAGTATGATGTTTGTACATCGTGTCCTAATTTAAAACATCATAAATGTTTGTTCTTTAACTCTTTATCTTTTATAATGTTTTATTGAAACGTTTGCAGCTCCGTCTCATCAGATTATAAACTTTTTAAGTTTCAGTTTTACATTTTGTTGTTCAGTCCAAACAGATTTCACAATAAAATGTGAGAATGTTTGTCAGAGAATTAAAATAATTAACATCCACCCGTCCTTACTGGAGTTTTAATTCAATATCATCAGTGGTTCCTAAATATCAAATGTTTAATTTAATCTTTTTAAATCAGATATTTTTTTCCTCTTTAGAGACGATAATTCATAAACATCTGCAGCTCCTGATCCTCTGATCTCAGTGCACCTTCAGTTCACACCTGCATACAAGTTTACAGCATTAAAGACTCTAATATTGAACCAATAATAATAATAATAATAATAATAATACTGAAGTGTTGGTTTCTGGAGGCATTAGTCACATCACAACATGCAGCAGCTTCTAGTTCTAATAAAGTTTCTACACAACGACGAACATCTGCCGACTACAGCATCAAACTACTGATCAATAATCAATAACAGTCCGCCAGCAGCCGCTTCTTCAACCTTCTAATGTCACATTATCATATTTCACTGTTTTAACAACAAATCAGAGCTTTAACCCAGAATTAATTTCAGTTTTTATCTTTTCTAATAAACTGATTCATGTTTTAAAGGTTTTAATAATTTAATAATAATTAAAAGAAGAAAAGTTAATTTCTGTAAATTTCATGAAACACTGAAGTTTGTTCCAGTGAGAATAAAACGTATTGATCATGTTTCTGTCGCAGCTTCCTGGAGGGACTGACTGTAAACTCTGATGGTTCAGACGGTTGAAGGCGGCTCCTGGTCGGACCCTCAGTGCTCTCCTCGCCGTGAGGTCACAGGAT